ACCGATGGCTTTACGTGCTCTCTGAGGAACGGGGGTAAAACACCGCCAACTTCCCAACTCCGGGCTGTTACTGAGGCTTACTATACAGAAAGACTCAATAACTAAACTTGGCCCGACCCGGAACTCGAACCCAGGACCTCCAGGTGTGCAGCCGTACATGCTAGCCACTACACCACCGAGGCAGTTACGTTTATATTATTGTAAATAGAAAAGACACCTAGAGATGTTTCCGAGAGAAATGAGGGTAAGTCGTTAGTACTAGTATAGATGAGAATTTTGTGGATAATAGACAGGCGTATACATTAAAACAGAGATTTATAAATATTTATTTTATTGCACTGACTCCTTAAAACTGTAAGACTTTCTATTTTTTTGGAGTCGGTTAAAAATATTAAGTGACTTTAACTGTTTTTCACAGAATTAATTGAATTATTATATGTACATATATACATTGTTTCTATTTTAAAAATGCTTTTTTTCAGGAACTTGACTATGACTTTTATGAAATCGCTTCTATATACTTATTATTCAAATATTTTTATCAAGAATGTTTGTATTATTTAACATAGAAACTTTTTTATTCAACGGTCTACGTATCAGAAACACATTAATTGATATGTGTGGATTGTACTCGTAAGAAAGGCGTAAAAAAACAATTGTATAAAACATTCTAATACAATTATTTATTAAACAAAAAAATACAATTATTTTATGTAGCCTAAGTTAATAAGAGACATTTCGGCAAAAAAAAATTTTATGCATTGAACGTTTATTTATAAAAAACATATTTATCGACGCGATGCTGTAAACCCTTCTAGTATTTGAGATATTAAAATTATCATCTATACATATAATAAAATTGTAACTGAGCCGAATCTGTACATTAAATATTTTTTGGAAAATGTTATAGAAATAAACATAATTTTCGATACAGAGGCCGAATATATAGTCTTTAGAATTTTCGTCTGTCTGTCTGTCTGTTACCACATGACAAGAAAACTACTGGAAGGATTTTGATGAAATTTGGTATGGTAATAGCTGGTTATCCGGGTCAACATATAGGATGCTTTTTACTGCGAGAAAATATCTCATTTCTGAGAAAAAATACAAAGACTGCATTGTAAGGGTATACTAATATGTAAAACCTAAGAATTTGGTTTTTGGTCATGTGAACGCGGGCGGAGCCGCGGGCAATGCTAGTTGATATATAAATAAATAAGAATTCTACATAAATTAAAAATATGTGTGTAATAAATCCGTTTAATATTACTTTTGACTTACTTTTTATATATTATCATAATAATATATAAAAAGTAGAATTTATTACGATCAACAGAGCCCTAATAAATGGAAACAATATGTAACAATTAAAAAATAATATTCAATTAATGTTTATTGTGAATTGTAATTAATTATTATATTCAAAGAATTACAATTACTTATTCTACGTAATATAATAAATTGTGTAGAAAATGTGAAGTGCATATGTAATGCATAAAAATATGAAACTTAATACATGTTTTGGATTTATACATTTTTGTTTTTTTTTTTTGGATTAAACCAATATTTCTTTTTTTTTATTATTGGCTATAATTGTTAAGTTTAAAATTACCAAAAATTTCTGATTTCACTATTACAGATCCCGAAGAAGATTAATTAACCCTGTGTTCTTAGGCTGTCTTTTATTTAATCCTTCCACTACCGCGGACACGCCTTCGTGTCATTTAACAGTAGATTTTTTTGAATTTTAATTAATTTCTTAGAAATTTACCTGGAGGTGTTAATAAACATGAGAAATATCAATATTAAAAAATCTAACTTATCAAATAAAAATTATCTACCTATATAAGAATATTTTCTAATCACAAGAACACAAATGATTGACACGGATGATTTACTTTACGATTACTTTTTTCATGATTTACTCAGTTAATAATAATATGTTTTCCAATGTATTGAATTCGAATTAGAAGATAGCTAAGCTACACTAAAGGAGTAATCTATACATATAATAAAATTCTAACTGAGCCGAATCTGTACATTAAATATTTTTTGGAAAATCTGATTGAAATAGACATTATTATCGATACAGAGGCCGAATATATATATAAATTTTAGATTTTTGTTAGTCTGTCTATCTGTCTGTCTGTTACCGCATCACGGAAAAACCACTGGCGGGATTTTAATGAAATTTGTTATGATGATAGATGGTTATCCGAGTCAACATATAGGATACTTTTTACTGCTGGAAAATATCTTATCTCTAAGAAATCAATACTAAACGTTAAATCGTAGATAAGTAGGGACGAACCCGAACGAAGCGAAGGTGAGTCGGTTTTTTTTAAAGTTGGGAAATGCATTTACGCACGAAGTGTGGGACTCACCGACGAAGCCAGTAACTACCCACTAAAACCCAACAAAACCTTCCCCCGTCTTAATGGGATGTCGCAGGATCGCTTACGCATTCAAATACGGCGCCCCGACGCCAGGTCTGCCGAAGCAGACCACAACCACCAGGGTTGCTCCAAGGTCCACTCTGCTATCAAAGAAGTACCAGGAGCAACCCGTATGGTACACCGCCCACCGAAGAGGGCCACCTCCCTGTACGTTTCTTGGCTTCGCGCCCGGCTGTATTTCCGGGTACTACTGCCCAAAGACACCCCCCACACCACCACAAGGTGAACGCACGTTGGGGGGGAGGGTGAGCCGCTAGTTAATAATATATACTAAATTATACATAACCTTCAACGAATGAGTTAATTACAGTAACAATATTTTATTGCAAATGATTGTATTATAAATAAGTGATGTCATAGGGCACTTTATTTGTGTTCAGTTTCGAATTCGAAATTTAATAATAATAACTAGATACATAAATCGTTACAGCTCGAAAGATTTGAAATAAATATTTTTGAATTAAAATCATTCTTAATAAATAATCTTCCAATACATTATACTGATGATTTTATTTTTAATGTAAAAATAATCGGAGTATCTAGTCGTCATTTAATAGGATGAGTAAAAAATAATTACGAGTATTCGTCCTTTATAAAATATATAAATTATAAGGAAGGGCGAATAGACTAATAAATAAGTAGAATAAGGAGCTCGGCTCAGCTCGGTAGGTTAAGATTATTTTTTTTGCATATAGAAACTCCTGCAACTAAAAATCACTTATTTTACATTGGAAACCAAAAAAGGGGGTAAATTTTTCTTTTTGTCGATATCCTAGGACATGTAATATCTATATTACATAATTTAGGAAACTATGACTTTTAAACACACCCAAACGAATCTAGTTAAACCTACACCTTACCAAAATAAATTTCCATTGATTATCCACCCACCTGGCTGAAAGGGCTGAATTATAAACCACATATTTTTTATAAATGAACTTACTACTATTCGTACTAAGAATTCTGAATATCAGGAACAAAAAATTAAAATAAATCCGCGAAAAATCCGAAAAGATCGTTTTATTTAAAATTAATTTACTACTATTATTAATATTCTCGATTGTATTGCTTTAATTATTCTTGTAGCCTTCTTGTAACCTGCGGTGAAAGGATTATTTATGTAATGAAACCGTAAACAGGACGTTACAATTAATATTATATATATACATGCTCAAAAATATACATACATATATATAATGTAGGACAAATACATACGTATATTTCAAATTCCCTTTATATTTTAATTGTTGTTAGACTAATTCAAGGATAGTGATATGTCTGCTTAATAATTTGAGAATGTTTTTACTGTTTTTTTTTCTGACAGGAAAACACAATTTGTAGAATTTACAAGGAAGATTTTATAATATTAAATGATATTTTTTATCATTATACCTAAAATTGGAAAAAGTGTGATAATTACACTTTTTTTTAACTTTCACTTTGAATAACTTTTGAACAAGTAGGTTTGTCGAAAAATGATAAACGACGTTTTTTGTACAGCGCTTAATTTCCTACAAGAATATGTTTTGTTCATTTAATATCGTTAATTGGTTTTTGAAATATAAAATTTTGAAATTAAACAAATGTATTCCCTTTTTATTTCTATGGAAGACGGAAATATGCGATGCGCGACCTCTAAATATTAATATTAAGAATTCTAGTTTTTACAGGCATTTTTTCGCACTTCCCTAAATGTATTTTAGAGCGGATTTAAAAAAATAATAATAGTCGATTTTTTGTATAAGTCTAATACATAGTGACCATACTAACCGTTTAAACATATCTAGGGACTAACCCGAGCGAAGCGAGTGTGAGTCGATGGTACTGAAAATTTTACCCGAAGGTAATTTAACTAAAAATTTGGCTAAAATATTCAGTCTGGGGACTACATCGTCCAAGCATCAAGTGATTTGACGATCAATTCTAAATGTTTTTTGATTTATAATACAACTTTTAACTGGAAATCTACATTACTTAAAACTTGCGTCATGAGTAAAATACTTATAAATTTCAGAAAACATCTATTAAAAATATATTTAGGCAGTGCAAATGATTAATTGATTTTTGTAAAAAAAAAAGTAATGCTCAGGTTAGTCATTTTTATTAAGGAAAAAAGTACAACAATACAATATGAGTATTAAATTAAAACAAAGTTTAAGGCTTTATTAAATTTAAATCAAAATCTAGACTATATTATCAGGCTATCCGATTTTTATATGGAGGTTGGTTTGTAGAGATACTACCCGTATAGTTTTATTTTATCTGTGATTATTTAATATAAGTTATATATAATACCTACATAAATTGCACACCTCTAACTTAATGCTATAATGTAGATCTGTCGAAATGGCTTAAATTAATTTTCAATAGTATATTTTTCTGAAATAAAAATTACCCTAAATAATATGTAGATTGAATTTTTATTCTTAAGTTAATATCTAGATCCGTTTTTAAAATTAGACCGGATTTGGTAAGGACATACAAAACGCATTTGCAATATATTTTATAGGAATACTTGTGTGATATTTAAGTAGCTAATAGCTACTTATATCCAGACTCATTCGACCGAAACTGAAATATGATGACTAAATACGTAGTTACAGCGCCGATAATCTGAAAAAAACATTTCCCAATAAAAAACTGTTCAGTATTTTATCTTAATAATTATTAAGAATAAAAATGTTCTTCTCTTATGTTCTCGTGCCTGCTAACTTAGTACATTAGATAGACTATGACATGTGTATTCAGCTCTTTTTAATGTCCCACTGCTGGGCACGGGCATCCCTTCAAGACGAGGGGAATCAGGCCATAGCCCACCACACTGGAAGATCGGGTTGGCGGCCTTCACATGTCTTTTGAAAACTTGCTAGGTTCTCTCAGACATGCAGGTTTCCTCACGATGTTTTCCTTTACCATAAGACAAGTGGTAATCATGTTGGAAACAATTCGCACATGAAAATGTCAGAGGTGCGAGACTCAGCATTTAAACTCGCTTCACTCAGTTTCCCAAGCGAGGCGTTACCACTGGGCTACCACTGCCTTGGCATATGTGTCATCACCTTAATCACGTAATAATTAAAGTAAGATTTAAAAATATACAAACCGTAACGGTAAGTGGCCTTGATAGTGTACAAAGGCCTAATGGTGAACACGTTGGTCGATCCAAAATAAGCTGTTTGGTGAACAAGTCCAGTTCAACAATCATAGGGTCTGCAGTCGTTGCATGACGCATCATGGAGCACACCAGACGCTTAGTCTTATCCATCTTAAATATTATATATTAAAAGTATTAAATATTACTTAGCTTTAGTCGTTTATTTCATCTGGATGACTTTCGTGAATTAACATAATAGGAACTGGCCAAATTAAGGGTTTGAGTCCTGCCCATCTAAATGTAACTTTCAAGTAATGTACATTTCATACGTTGTTATATCTTTTGCCTTTCACTTAACGTATCATCGTAGGTATAAGAAAAAAAGCTATTTGTTGTTTGTTTATTAGAACTAAAAACAAAGAAAGAATTGTTTGATCTAATCAATTTAAAGATGAAGTAGTTTAGTTAAGATTAATAGATATTAGTACCCCTAATGCAGTGATATGTGAAGCGCTGCTTAACTTCCATTTTGCTTTTGCTTTACAAGTCATAAGTTCAATTCCTGTAAAAGACATGTTTAGAGTTACCTAAAACTATAATAGGAATAAAAAGAGAATAATCTATTATAGTGTCCATACCTCATTCTGCATCTGATAGCACGGTTCCACTACTAAGACCATACACATTATATGGTATAGACCCCAACCTATTTGCAGCAAAACATTCGATATATATCCAGTTGTTGCATCTAAACAAATCGTTTTGAAAAAATGATTAATATTTTAAACTATTTTTATCGAAACCAATTTTGTTTAATTAGAGTGAGAGATCTTATATATTATAAAGAGGTAAATATTGTATTTTTTTAAAATTTGTGATTTTGTTTGTAGGAAGTAATCTCTGGAACTACTGAACCGATTTAGATGAAATTTGGTAAAAAAATAGATTGAGATCCTGGAAATGACATAAAATAGTTTTTATCCCGGAAATCATCCCTTAACAGGGTGAAAATGGTTATGAAAGTTTATATAGGGAATCAACCTAGAGACGAACCCGAGCAAAGTGAGGGTGAGTCACTAGTATGAAATAAAATTTACGATAAAAATGTGATACTTTTACAATGTACCACGACAAAGAAAATTTATTGATATCCATCTAACAATACTAAACCAGAAATACATGTAACTAGCAAAAAATTACAAGGAGAGCCGACCCCAAACGATATGTGAAAAGGCATTTTTAATCCTCATCACAAGGACATAGCAATATTTAATGGCTGAAAAAACTTTTTATTCGTTTTAAAATATATATACTTTTGACAAGGCTGTTGAAACCGACCAATTATCTAGTATTATGTTAAATCTGTTTCATCCGTTAAGTCGATAGGTGATGGGGGACGTTATTTTAGATGTTAGAATATATCAGTTACATCCCAGTGCTGCTATAATAACAAAAAAATTTTAAAATATTTAACGTCTTTTTGTCTGTAAATCAAAGCTTTAAAAAATTACCTACATAGTTCTGTAATTAAGTAATATGGTGTAATTACTAATTGTAAAAAGAATGAGGCTACGTTTAAAAACAGCAATAATCCATGATCATTATCGATATGTCTGAAAATATCGCAAATCCAACTATACAAGAAAGCGAAATCATGTACAGTCCTTTTCACATTTAGACGACGCTGATTTAGGTTATCTGAAAAATACATAAGCATTATTTAATTATAATCACTTACATCTGCCTAGCTAGCTCATGTTGCTTTACTTTATAAACACTAATTTAATAAAACAACAAGAAAACGGAAAAAAGGCAACTCATTCACTTTTTACAGTTACAAGCAAAAATAATACCATACTGCTTAATAATGGTTATGGTAAATGAATAAAGTTATTATTAATAAATTATAATAAAATAAGTTATAATAATAAAATAACTTAACGGACTAAAATGAAAGAAAAATATATTTTTACTAGTGACTAACCCTCGTTCCGCTCGGGTTCGTCCCTAGGTGCATCTTAACGGTTAATATAGATTTCTCAGTAATCAGATATTTTCCTCCAGTAAAAAGTATTCTATTTGTTTGTCAGCTATCACCATAGCAAAATTTATCAAAATCTGTCCACCGATTTTCTCGAGATGCTTTCCCAGACAGACAAACAGACAAAGAGACAAAATTCGGTCTTTGTATCGATAATAACGATTATTTCAAAAGATTTTCCAAAAATATTTAGTGTACAGATTCGATTCAGTTAGAATTTTATTATATGTATAGATTACAAAACTTTAATTTTGCTATAAATAAGCCATGTGAACATGAATTGTCGACTAATGTGGGCAGACTTCGTTATTTAACCCAATTTCTTCAACTTAATTCTTTATGATTTAGATTATTATAGATTTGATTTTAACTAAGCTCAGTAGTTAAACGATTGATGGTGATATAATAAACGAATAAGCATTTTAAATAAGCAGTTTCGTATTAAAAAAAATACCAAAAATTGCGCTCCTTCTTGGTAAGGAATCAGTAACAAAGGTAAAAGTTCTAGAGGATATTTTAATGGTTGGTTGCACCTTATTCAGAAAATATTTCTTGCAAGGCCTCTGCAGTGTAGAATAAGGATAAAAAAGTATGTCTTTATCTGAAATTATTATACTTATTGTTACTAAAATAAATCTTCCTAAAAGAATCGTACATGGCTATCCGTTTTACTAAGATTAGATAAGTTTATAGCGTAGAAGTATGTGTAGCGATACTTCCTTTTCTTACTTTAATATGATATGTCAACAATATCGCACTATCAACGAGAAGGATTCACGAATTCTAAAAAGCATTTGAATGTGATGTCATCGCCACTTTTTCCTAATAATATATATTAACACAACGGAAAACAAAAACAAACCTATCCCACGGGACCTGTACATTTTTTTGGGATAAAAAGTAGTCTATGTGTTATTCCAGACTACGAATCTATATTCAAAATGAAGAGATCCGAAAAAGAACCAAAGTTATAGACATAGCCCAAAGAATTAGCAAGCTGAAGTGGTAGTGGGCTGTTTTTGTCGTAGCACCGATAACCGATGGAGTAGACGGGTTCTAGAGTGGAGACCACGGCTCGGCAAACGTAGTGTAGGACGCCCTCCAGCTAGGTGGAGCGACGATATACGTAATCTGGCTGGCAGCGGTTGGATGCGTAGGGTTGAAGATCGAGCTCAGTGGCGTGCCATAGAAGAGGCCTATGTCCAGCAGTGGATGTAAGCAGGCTGAATATATATGTAACAAACATCCATACATACTCTAAAACTTTCAAATTTATAATATTAAATGAGTACGGATTAAATAAAATTATACTTAAAACTAACTAAACGAGTAACGACTTTAGTAAATCTATCGCTTCTTATGTCGTACTAAAAGACGCTTTGCTTAGTTTGACAATTTACATTCTTTAGTAGTGGCAGATTAAATCCTATCCTATACTACTAATATTATAACCGCGAAAAATTGTGTGAATGGATGGATGTTTATTATTCTTTGAAGCAAAAACTATTGAACGGATTTTGATGAAACTTTACAGTAATATAGCTTATACATCAGAATAACACATAGGCTATAATTTTTAAAGAAATAGTAATAATATATATAAATCGCTAGTCGTATATAATGTAAAAATATAATTTCCTCGTCATAGCATTAATGAATCCCTACTAATATTATAGATATGATTTTTTTTTTTTTTTTTGAGGATGGATGGATGTTTCCATTTATTTATAAAATATTAGTATGGATATGAATAATCATATATTTATTTATATCAAACCTACTAATCTACGACCAAATCCTATCAAACTTCACAGGAGCAACCGCTGGGCTAATCTGAAGATTGCCTGAAAATTTTATCAAAATGGCTCCAGCCGTTTTGAAGTCCATTAAGAACATACATACACACATCAATTTTTATATACATATATAGATGTTAATTTATTTAATACCTTTGGTTAAAGATAGATTTTGCAGTTCATAGTTAACCAGTCGTAACGTAGACTGCAGATGGTAAGCGATTAGCACAAATTGCAGTTGAGCCAACAGGACCAGAAAGTACTCATAGAAAAGGAATGAGTACATTAGTAATGTTCGCACTAGAAGACAAAAAGATAACTTTATCATTTTATATATCATTTAAAAAAAATGTGGGTTGAGTAATTAGAATTATTTACTCAAAATCTACTTTAACGATTTCTAAAGATATTTTGCTTTACATAATATATTTGCTTTAAAGTTTAGTATCTTATTATAGAACTAGGAAACAAAATATTTCCAATCTGCAGTAGGGATATTTTGAAGTTATTTTCATTTAGCTTTGCTTGTCATTTTTTTTCAATTTCTTGTATTTTATTTCTTGTAAAGACTAACGAATGTTTCATCCAGCCATCTAGTATTTTCCAGTTATACTTAATGATTGTACTAATGTTTATCACTTTGGCTCCATGGGCCAAGAATTTCTTTGGCAAATGGTATAAAAACATAATTTTGACTCAGGAAGGCGTATTTACGTAACCTCTCTTAATACGGTATCTGACAGTCAAAATCTATTTTATATTAGATAAACAAAAAAAATTAAACGTCATAAAAAGATAGTGACGAATCATTACGATATCTCTTATCTGTAAGTAAATAATATTAAGATAAACAGAATAATTAATATAAACGAACCTTCTGTACCACGATGCAAAGCTTCTAAGGCATAGCCGCAGAGATCAAAAAAGATCAAAATCCATAAACCAACACAAGTCGTTATTACTGCAAGAAATTTAAATTTTTCGCCAGAATTAAATTTATTTTTAGCGCCAAGAAAAGCTTTAATCTGAAAAAAATAGTACCATTATAAAAAACTAAAAAATAAAATTTGAACAAATCATAATTAAAATATCTAGGAACAGATCCAAAATCTGATCATTTGCAATATACACCAATATTATCAACTAGTGAACGGAAAATGTTCATAAGTTCAAATAAGTATTACACTGTAACGATCTTGTTTAGGACTCTCAGTTCTTACCCAAAGTAAAGACAGTAGATGCCGTAGGATTTTATAAAAAATAATAGTGTCATTCACGTGAAATTTTACATACCTTGATATTAAATAATTATTAAAAGAATAAAATAAAATTACCTTTTCAATCTCCTTCAAGCAATGAATCACAGAAGACATACGTGTTGGAGATGTGTACACAGCAACGCTAGCAATCAATATTATAATGGAAAGGTTGCCCACCCAAATAACCCTGGACGTTGGGGTGCGCACGCGCAAGGACCGTGCAGGCTCAGTAAGAAGATCCAATGCAAAGCCAGAGAGAACTACGCAATCTAAAATATAATTGTGAAACAGATATTTGTTACCAAAATGTATCTATGAATGGCTAATATCAAGGCACGAATTTAGAATTGGGGACTTGGCCCCTAGCGGAGTGGGTGGTATTTCTGGATAAGGGACGTGATAGGGAGTCGAAATGTTAAATAAAAATTGTCCGCGAACGTATGAGTAAAAAGTTATTGAGACTTAAAGTTACAACATTTCCATATTTCTTTACCACCATTCGGAGTGGGTGGTATTTTTAAATAGGGGAGGTGACAGAGAGTCAAAATATATTAAAAATATTTGGAGGAAACGTACGAGTAAAAAGTTATTGAGACTTAAAGTTATAACATATCTAACACATTTCCATACATTTCTTTACCTAAATAAGTGATTACAACAGATAAACATACCTTTAACGAATAGTACGCATCCTTTTTTATGTACAATACATATTTTCACAACAATTAATGCTTTATTGTATTTAATATTTTAATAATTTCACAACACAAACAAAATGATCTTACATTTTGACAAAAGCAAAACTGACACTTTGTTTTATATTAGGTACCGCTTAAATGACAACAGATTATATTTGATTATTTTTGCTTTTTCTGTTGGTAAAATATTACTATTAATAAATAAATAAATAAAAAGAAAAATATTATTTTCACTTTATAATTACATTTATGACTTTTTTATTTGATTTATGTAAAAATATATTGTTTTACAATTGTACATTTAGTAAAAAAAATCATTTTTTTATCTGTGAATATTTTTAATTATTTATTTATTATTCGTCATATCTGGGTTAGGTTAGGTTAGAACATTTAAGATTATATATTTATTATTCGTCATATCTGGGTTAGGTTAGGTTAGAACATTTAAGATTATTTATTTATTATTCCTCATATCTGGGTTAGGTTAGGTTAGAACATTTAAGATTATTTATTTATTATTCCTCATATCTTGGTTAGGTTAGGTTAGAACAGTTGCCACAACGCACGAGCCGAGCGAGCGAAGCGAGCGTGCCGCGGTAGTGGCCGGCGAGTGCCATAAATGACTAGAAAACTAGAAAATTCGAATTTCACGTAAAGTACAATTAAGACAATCATCTGGAGATCATTTTGACAATTGAAAGTGACGTTTTGACTCCAAGTGTCTAAATGGTAGTAATGTCAAAATAATGTATGGAAATGTTGTAACTTTAAGTCTCAATAACTTTTTACTCATACGTTCGCGGACAATTTTTATTTAACATTTCGACTCCCTATCACGTCCCTTATCCAGAAATACTACCCACTCCGCTAGGGGCCAAGTCCCCAATTCTAAACTGCAGCCAATATCAAATAATGACACCTAAAAGTTTTCGACAGATAGTCTACCTACACTTAAATATATGCAAATGTACCCGGTCTCCTCTACAGGGTAGTTAGAAAAAATAATTTTCATATTTCACTTCGGTCTATTTGCATATAAACGATTGGATAAGTATTTAAAATAATTCCTCATTTTTTTCATAAACAACATAAAGCATAGGCGTCTGTATATAGCATTTAAATTTTGGCAAATAATAAACAATTTACTTATAGCAGTGACAAGAAGATAACTGTAAAACATCAAAGGTCGAGAAACGCGTAGACCACTTGGCGAGTTAGTAATAGGGGCCACTCCTGCCAACCGGGATATACGGATTACTAAATTCAATGCACTCCTAGACTCCATTCTGCTAAACTGTGTTAAACGATAGCTCAACTTCAAATACTTAATTGAATTAAATCAGAAGCATATAAATCTACGTTAGTACCCAGTACCTACCAATAATTTACCAACAGTTTAGTTTAACAAGTAATTTCTAGTTTATCAAAACAATCTATTTAAATTGTTATTTTATCATTGATAAAATAAATACAAGAACATAGTAATTCCATATCTATTCATCGCCATCAAATATAAATGTAAACATAACCGTACATTGTTTTGTAGTTATAACTAATGGTGGGTAAATGTTACAGACTTGGCATGTGAAATGTTTATTTAACGTACAAGTATTTAGTCCATATTATATTTGTTTTTGTAAATACGCTTAATAACTCATAATAATCAGCAAGTTATGTAGAAATCTCACAAATGTGTGGATTTTTAATACAAGCTCCTGTCGAACGTCACGCAGAGATTTTATTATACGAAATCAATATTAACTATTAATTATGCAGAGTTTTATTTGAATACTAGCAGAACCCGCGGCTTCGCTCGCGCTAAAAGTACATAAAAACTTTAAAAAGTGGGTTTCATAAAAACTTTCATCCCTTATTTTACTCTCTTAGGGGTTGAATTTTAGAAAACGCTGAAATACGTAACTCATTATTTTGCCGTGCTCTATTCATACGAAATTTCATACAAATATGTCCAAGAGATAAAAAAATTTCATACAAACTTTTACCCTCTATTTCACCCCCTTAGGAGTTGAATTTTGAAAAATCCTTCCTTATAATATAAAATCATATAAAAGTGATAAAATAATAACTTTATTCATAATTCGGTACGCTATATATTCAGTAAAATAAATATTTCATATAAGTAGTCGAATCAATAAAAACTCATTATTGCACTTCCTCCTCTGTAGTGTTTTGTGAATTGTTAATATTGTCGAGTAGATCCCCATCTACGGTCATAGGTCGTATTATAGCCTGAAATGTCCCGATCATCATTTTATTATCTTGTGTTCCTGAGATTTGCCGTTTTACTCTAGTTCCATAATCTTTGCTGATCCCATACTTCTTAACTGTATTTGTGTCTTCATAATTATTGAATACATCATTAAACGCTTCCTTATATTCAGATGTTGCTACAACCTCATTGTTATGTAAATTCTCATGTAGTTCACTTACATTTAGATCCAAATTATCTAATTTTGCTATAGAATTACTTTTTAAAAACGTATCGCTATCCATGATTTTTTTTTCGGATTTCTCTTGAATATTACATAGACAAGCAGTACTAATCAACAGTAGATATACAAAATAATTATACATTTTTGTATTTATTGAAACAAAAAGTTATGGACGTGCAAACGTGTAAAGAATAGATATACAAACATGTAGTGAACATTCGAGTGAGTCTTTTTATCAGCCCTTCATTTAAAAACTGGGTTAGTATTTTGCATTTTAGTTTTAAATTACGTATTTTCAAAATATATTTAACATGAATATTTATGATTTAATTTTGCATATTGTTATAATTTAATGTATCCTGCATGTTTCTTTAGCTTTTACGTATATTTATTACATATTAGGTCGTTTCATCGATCTGTTTTACTGGACAAAAAAGGAATTAACATTAAACATAATAAATTAAAAAAAATTGTAAGCAAATTACATATATAGCAACTATTAACAAAGTACGAAGATTTCTACTGTAATCTTTGCCTAAAAATACACAATATCACATTTTGCTCAGACTAGTATAAAAGTTGTAGCAAAAACTATAATTTTTAGGTATTTCCTACAATAGGGTTGAATTATAAAATTATATTCTTCCTATTGTTATCGGTTTACGATTAATGTTGATACCACGATAAATTGAAATTGTTTGTATCAAATCAGAGAAAAAGTGGCAATTGATAGTCGCGATCTCAATTGATTATAATAAAATCGAAAATTTATCTTTTATCTGATTAAACGACGAATAGCAAAATCCATACTTCAAATCTATCTATCTATACAAAAATCTATAGCATCAGATTTGAAAAAAATAACTCAGGAAAGGATACTTTTTACTTCGATACATTTAAATGTAGAATTCTAAAACTCACATACGCATATCAGTTATCCACACTAATATTATTAAAACCGTATCTAATATATTTAAACGAGCAATTCTTGTATCCAACGATCGTCGGCTCCAACGATTTTCATGAAAATTTAGTATACAAGGAGTTTCGGGGGCGATAAATCGATCTAGATTAGTCTTAAGTCTCAGAAAACGCGTATTTTCGACTTTTTATGCAGTTTTCTTTTGCATTATTCCACGCAAAATATGGTCGGTAATTTGCACGTTCGGGTATAAGCATCGTGCTCAAGCGGCCAAGGTGCAAGATCAACAATCACAGTTTTTACTTTTTTTATATATTTATTCAAGTTTTTAGTTTTTATTTTAAACAAAATTGTACTTTTTAACTCAAAAACTCCGAGCAAAGCTCGGTGGCCCAGGTACTCTTTATTTTAAACGTACTAATTTTTGTAACCACCAGTGGGATTTGAATAAAATCTTCGTCTTTTTGGAAACGGATTAATTATAAAGCATCTGGGCGAGCGAGCTTCGCTCGATGTTTTTTTCGGAAGTGGTATTGATCCAAATCATTAGAGCTGTCAAGAAGTTTTATATATATATATATATATATATATATATATATATATATATGTATATATGTATATGTATTCATATTTTGGTAATTAAATTTAAAAGTTTATGAGTGTTAATAATGAGCTCTTTCTTTAGTATATAAATGTTTTAAAAATAATATATTTGTCTATAGATATTGTTCTTATCTGGGTGATTTACCTATCTGTTCTATTTTACTAAGATCGATTTTTATTTTCAAAAATAGTTGATTTAACGGAAGATAAAAATACAATTATGTTTTGATTATAATAGTATTTCTCAGTGGTGTTACCAAGTCGGAATGCCGATTTTTAATAATCAGTTATTGATGATGTAGCTCTAATTTGCTAAAATTGTACAAAAATTAAATTGTGGTTAAAAACTATGTACATATATTATAAATTGAAATCATTTTAGCCTATGAAAATATTTCTTGGAACATATGAAACTGTACATAATATTGAATTCCATAGAAAATCATATTTAAAAGTGCAATAAGTAGTTACTTACTTCTGAAATACATAATTATAAAACAAGAAAATAATGCTTCAAATTGAACTCGTAGGTTTAGATTTTAGAGATACACGCGCTTAAATAAAAAAACGATTCAGCTTTCTATATTAGATAACTATATATTAACTAAATCTAAATAGTAGTTAACCATATTTTTACTTTTTCTATATTTTTCAATTAAATAATAACACGGATATTTATCGACATCTATAATGCAATAGAAGTTTTAATGTGTGATGAGGATGTCAACCTTATACGTAATGAAATTGCTTTCATAATTACGTGCATTGAAGATTACTGCCATTTTTGCCACAATGCAAAATGCCATAATTACGTACTACAGAATAGCAAAATAAATCTTACTTACAGTGGAAAAAGATTAAATTTTTAATTATAGCATCTTTATAATTATATATTAGAGGTGCGAGAATTTTTTTTTGGAAAATCTTATTGAAATAGACATTATTATCGATACAGAGACCGAATTTATAGTTTTTAGAATTTTTGTCTGTCTGTCTGTCTATTATGAGGCAGTGGTAGCCCAGTGGTAATGCGCTCGCTTGTGAAACCGAGTGAAACGGGTTCAAATCCCGGGTCTCGCACCTCTGATATTTTCATGTGCTAATCATTTCTAACATGATTACCACTTGCCTTACGGTGAAGGTAAACATCGTGAGGAAACCTGCATGTCTGAGAGAACCTAGCAAATTTTCGAAAGACATGTGAAGACCGCCAACACTTGGCCAGCGTGGTGGACTATGACCTGATCCCCCATCTAGTGAAGGGAGACCTGTGCCCAGCAGTGGGACGTTAAAAAGGGCTGAATACTACTACTACTGTCTGTCTATCGGTCTGTGACTGCATCACGAAAAAACCACTGGACAGATTTTGATGAAATTCAGTATGATTTATAATATAGTATAATATAACTATAGCTGGTTATCCGGGTCAACATATAGGATAATTTTTACTGCGGGAAAATATCTCATCTCTGAGAAATCTATACTAGACGTTGAAACCCGAGCGGAGCGAGGGTGAGTCGCTAGTTTTAAATAAAACGAACTATCTTTTCTTTTTACATAAATTTTTTTTTTGATGTTTGGTTTCCGACGTTTTGAATACTTTACAGGAGTCATGGTCACGGAAGGGGCTCTCTCTCTCAAGTTCTCTCTCTCTCTCTCTCGAGTTCGTTCTAAACGTTGGGAATCAAAAATCAAAATAAATCCGCGAAAAAATCCGAAAAGATAGTTCTATTTAAAATATATTATACGGCCAACGCCACTGGAAGTATACTTAATACATATAAATAGAGAGAATGAGAACATTTTGTTACTTAATATTGATTTACTTATGTAATCATTCTCTTACAACTGTTAGCTCGTCTCTCCCATCTAACCTATAAACAATACCTCAGCCTAAAAGACAATGGACAAAAACAATGAACTTATTCAATAACTTTAATATATCATTATAGATCGTTATATACATATTTTAATGAGATAAAAACACGTTACATTTTATAGATTAAGTTGATCACTTCGATTTTTTACTGTTATACTTATCTAATTGCTGTTCAATAATCAATACTTGTTCCATCACTTCTTCTGGAGTGAGTTGAAACGCCGATATCATAGGAGCGACAAAACTTTCACTTTTCTTTATGTTGCTCGTATCTGTATTATCTTCAAAATTAACAGTTTCAAAAGAATTATCAGTTTTTGGACAACAAGTACTGTTCTCTGGATCCAAAAATGTTTCATGTTCATGTGTGCTGTCGTTAGTAAATACCGTTATATCATTCCGTTCTAGTATTTCTGGATGTTCTATTAGCATATTTAGTATATATTCAAAAAGCGTTGGTACCGTTCTAAATGCATTTCCATATTCACCTCTAGAACCAAATAAATCCATTACTTCTTCCTTTTCACCTGTAAAATAATATTAATGAAATATCAGTATTATTAGTATGTACTCGTATTATATACTGCACAAATATTTCAAAAATTATGAGCGAATGAATAATGCTCACCTTCACAATTAGTCAACAGGACGTTTAATACAATGATAAATGCTGCTGTTATTTTCATGTTCATTATTTATGACTTTAGTGCAAGCTTGCTTTGAGCAACAAAACATGTAATAAATTGGCATTTAAAATAGACAGGAAACGCCACAGCTAATTTCAGATAAGACATGCTAATATGACCCTAAATACGATGATAAGGAAACTACAGGGAGTATTAAAAAAATACTAATTTATAACAAAAATTATGATAGTTTAAAAAAGCAAAAATTTGGTAATCAAATTTTGGGAAAAAAACCGGTAATCTGGGTTGATCAGATCATTTATGTATTCGTGAATTCCTTTAAAAAATAAAAAAATAACACAAGTCTTGGAAGGACAAGTCATGGTTTATCCTACAAGACAATTATAGGTTCATTACGCATTATCTGTTGAGAGGTTTGTAACCATGTACCCCAGTAGCATCCCAGTGTTAGACCATCCACCTTATTTACTGGATCTTGTGTTGTGCGGCTAGGAAGCCTAGGAGGAAGAGACCCCAGGAGGAAATCCTAGAAAATCTGAAATCTTAATAAATGTTTACATTTAAATAGATTTAAGTAACTAATTAGTAATTATATATCAACGCGTACAGGATAAATATTATGAGTAATAATAGATTAGGCTTTTTACATCTATAACAAGAATCATAATATCATTACGACACGTATGGCTCAGTTTGTAGTGACCGTACTTACTGTGCTAGCGGTCGCGGGTTCGAGTGTTGTTGGAGGCATTCATTTGTGTTATAACCACGAATGTTTGTACTCCAGTAATGGGTATTTAAATTTATAATATGTATTTATTTAAAGTTATATGTGTGTAGTTTATCAACGATCTGATATCCATAACACAGGCCTCGTAGTGTACCATGGAACTAGATGGTGCTGTGTGTTAATGTCCGCTGGGACATTACAATATGCTGATATTTATTTATTACAAACTTTCATCGACTACCATAAAGCTGGATGATGTAGGTACAATTGCAAATAAAAAATCATAATCGTGTAGAGCACGAGTTTCCCACTAGACCATTTAAATTGCGTACAAAGTAAGATGATTAAGAATATAATTATAGTTATTATTGTACGGAAATACTATCCCGCACAGTTTACGGCTACATTACAAAATCATTATCATAAATATGATAATATGCTCTTTACTCAAATTATTTAAATGAGGCATTTAAACTTTACAATGAAACCTATATCCTATCAGGGTACCGCTAGCAAAGTTTTTTTTTCTCACTATTGGAAATAACAACTAAATTGTGTAAATGTACTGTAAGAAATGGAGTTAATTTTCTTTTCAAATAATATAAAAAAAATCTTAAACAATTGCAGGGTGACATCTTGATTCTTGTCTAAGCCCACAGATCAATAAGATTTCCATGTCAAGGTAATTTCCAACATGAATTTACCTTACCAATAGAGTACAGAAAAACATTGTGAGAAAACCTATATTAACCAGCGTGGACTTTTGCCTAATCTCTCTGTAACATTAAAAAGAGGCTCGTGCCCACCATTGGGACAATAAAAAGGCTAAGCTATTATGATATACATATGCTTATAATAATATAATAATAACAAGATAACAAAGAACATTTTTATCTTTTATTTACTAGTACAGAAAATTTAAATTCTCTCTGGGTCAAAAGATCAAGAATGATTGTTTTAAAAAAACTTACTTTTTCAAAACAATTTAGACTAGTGGATATAGATTGATATCGTAATCTGCCAAACCAAACGGCCGAGTAACATGAGACCAAACCCTTTTTTCGATAGGGAAATTGATTTATTATATCAATAGCTGCTCACCCTTGCTTCGCTCGGGTTAGTCTCTAGAAAAACAAAAACCAATCTATCCCTCGGAAACCATATTTTTCCGGTATAAAAAGTAGCCTATGTGTTATTCCAGACTATAATTTATCTGTTTGCCAAATTTCATCCAGATCTGTTCAGCCGTTCTGGCGTGAAAGAGTAACAAACATCCATACATACTCGCAAAACTTTTACATTTAAAATATTCATAATACAGATAGATGGCATTTTAATATACTATAAGGACAGCAAACACAACCATGAAATCATCAGTAACCTAAGCATAGGTACAAAATTATCAAATTATATTGCTTTACATAATATATTTGTAAAAGCCATTATGAGTATTTAATTTAATAATTACTTCCGTATGTTCTATGCAGAAGTGTTAAACAATTTTAAACAAAATAAACAAAAACGAGAAAATGTCGGTTTCTGGTTGATTTTATTCTTTGAAAAAAAAAAAACAAATTTATATAAAAAAAATTAAT